AATGAAAAGACATCTGTACTTCTTAGGAAGGTAATCCCTGATTATATGAATCGTATTGATGAATCCAAAGAGCTATCACCTGACAGTTTTTCTGCGCTTTCTGTAAAGTATTCTAAGAAGTCTATTTCTCATAATGATATTTATTTCAATGTTATCTCATGTACTAAAGTTTTGTGTTTTATCTTTTGCAGGATGAAGTAATTCTAGAAATATTAAAGCACTTAGACTTGAAGACGTTATGCCTCATGAACCAAGTAAATAAGCGCTTCAATAATTTAACACGGGACCCTCTACTATATACACGTTTGAACATGCAAAATATCTCTTGTCGTATTTATTTTTATGATATACTTTGCTACTTTACACCTAGATGTGAATATTTGCAACAATTAGATCTTGCAATATGTTACTTTTCTTCTTCGCATTTCGTGCAATTTCTGGAGAATTGCGGCAGGCATTTAACGCACTTACGATTCACTGAATGCAGATCTGTCGACAATGATGTCTTATTCAAAATTTCAGAGATATGCAAGAATTTGAAAGGTATATATATATATATAAAGATATATATAAAGATTATACAAATATCAAAATTATTGTTAAGTTGCATGTATGACCAATATATATTTTTTTAGAGTTGGTTCTGACATTTCTGATAGATATTGAAGGATATTTTGATAAGGAAGGTATTTCATGTCTCGAAAATCTAGAGAGCCTGGAAATATTGGCACTTGAAACAACAAAAATAGAAGTTCAATGTCTTTGCAAAATACTGCAAAAAAATAAAGGAATGCGTGAATTATATTTGTCCAACTGTTTACTTAGGGGGAGTTACAGTAAGGAGGAGTGCCCAATCGACACCGTTGCAATAGAGTTAGGAAATTCGTGTCGGGACTTGCAAAAAATACATTTATATAAAACAGATTATATTACATCGAAGTGTATTAATGCCCTTGCTGACTGTAAGAATTTACGAATAGCAAATCTTGATACAATGTATGTGCTACATTTTCTTTCAAAATGTATATTACGTATTCTTTATTAAAATTTGTTTCTCTTACAAGATTCTTGAAAAAGTTACTTTGATTTTATTCTTGTGATTAAAGTTCTGTAATAATTATATGGTTCTTGTTACAGAATGGATTACCCGAGAAGACACCTTATTGATGATAGCTTAAGCAGATTGCTTTCCTCCTGTCAACTGCTGGAAGAAATATATTTGAATCATATTGTCTTCACTGATCGCAATTTGAAATTACTGGCGGAGTGCAAAAACTTGAAACGTTTACATCTAAAATACGTAGAATTTGTAACACCTGATAATGTTTCCATTATTCTCGAGCAATGTTCTAAATTGCAACAGTTGGTCCTCGAAGTCCACAATATTAGCCCGTATTTGATTAACCAGTGGAAGAAAAGTCATCCACATGTGTTATGCAGCGAAAAGGGAGTATATATGTGAATATTTCTATCGAATTTGATTCAAAACCATAGAAACTTATTTATACTATCGGCATAAGTGTCAGTTCAACAAAGTACAACCGATTTGAGAGTAAGTGTGTTTAAATTCTTATTAAAATACAGTACAGATATGTTATTACCAAATAAAATAAACAGGGACTTATAGATTATTCTTCGAAATTACATAAAAATCAGTAGAAAACGGATGCTATTCAAAATAATACAAATTGTTAAAATCTCGTCAGTAAATTTCTTCTTATAACTTATTAATAGCAGCTTATTCTGATTGTTTGATTGAATCTGTTTATATCTAATAGGTAGTTTCTTTTTTGATTATATTCTGGCTAGGCCAACAAAATGTCATGAAGTCTTTAGATACATATACATATCGCTGTGCATGAGATACTACCGTGTATTTTAATAAACAAATTTTATTAATATCACAATATTATAATTATTTAGTAATAGTGAGAAATATATTATGCATTCGTTCGGTGTTCTTTTCAAATAAAACGAAATTTATCTACATTATTTTGCGAAATAATTTATTTAATTAACCAAGAGGCATGTATTAGTTTATAGATATAAAACAAACCTTGTCTATATGTATAATATTTTTGAATATTAGTTCAGTGTCGCGCGTCGGCATTTGGAGCTTCCTCTTTCTGGTTTACCATTATGTGACAATAACGCAAATCATTTTTTCGTCTAACTCTTTTCGAGAAAGCATTTCCTGCATTCACAAGCGCATGGCATTGTAAATGTAAAGATTATATCATTCGAGATTCCGTTGAGTGTCGCCCGTTGGCATCTGGAGATTTCCTCTTTCTCGTTGACGATCGTTATGCAAGAGCATTTTAAGATTTTTTATGGTCTAATTCCCTTCGAGTAGTAAAAGACACGTAGCAATAATATAAAGATACTTTCTGAGAATCGGTCAGTATCGTGTGTCACTTATCGGAGCTTCGTTTTTTTCCTCGATCGTTATTGTGCAATAGTATTCTATAAATTTTTTTATTTTTTACTGTTTAATTCTTTTCGAGAGAGCATATGCCTTGTGTTAAGAAACGCATGGCATTGTCAACATAAAGTTATTTCTCGTAAATCGTCTGTGTCGTCTTTCTCGTTTTGGCCTGCCATTTATACAAGAATTATATTTTAAAATTATTTTATCGTTTAATTCTCTTGAAAAAATCATGTTTTATATTTTATATTATCAAACGCATAGGATTGGTCGCGTTCAGCAGACCAAGCCGCTCAGTAGCAGTCAAACGTGATTGGCTTTTACTTTTAGAACCAACTAATTAACGCAGAGTGTTAATAAGACGAACTCAACAGTTGTGCAACAGTTGTGTCTGCTGAACGCGCCCATTGCCAACATAAAAGATATTTCTCGAGATTCGTTTACTGTCGCCTGTCAACATTTATTGTAGCCTTTTCTCTTCCTCTTTTGATAAAATAAGTAGACAACGGCAAAATAGACAAAGACGAGTCCGACCAAATCGCGGCGTATCGTCGCGTGGCGATTTCGAAATTCGTTAATCTGAAACTCATGTGTCAAAATCATAAATAGTTAAATAATAAACTACAAATCAAATTATGTATGTCTATTTAAATAAACATTTAGTAATGATAAGAAGTATGAAAATTATATTAAAATGCAATCTTGATAATAATGCGCAAAAATTTAAAGCAAGAATGTTTTATGAATTTGAATAGTTCATAAGATACACTCAAAAATCGTGAGTATGCGAAATAAGGCTTATAAGTTATAGACTATTCTTGGTCCAAGTTCTTCTATGTATACATATATAAACAGAGATATTTACCTCATATAACATAGGATAATATGCGATATTTATTGTGGTAGGTATGTATTGGGGTATGAAAGGGGGGTAAAGGACGTTTTCTCGCGAACGTTATTCCGAATCACGTTATTATTATCGTCAGTTTTGCTCGTCAGTTTTGCAAGTAATTTACTGCGCGATACAGGAAAATGAGCCGCAAAATCACTGATATTGTGGTGCACGATGTAAGATTTCCGACATCAGTGCGGCATGAGGGATCAGGCGATTCAATGGTATGCATTGTAATATATCAATTTTCATAATTTTCTAACGTTAAAGTAGCTTATTAAGTATCGTTTATTTGACCCAACTGGCCAATTTTATTTAAACAACGCTACGTTTCGACCGTAGATTTCGTTTCTTTTCAAGCGTCTGGATACAAGTTATTAATTATTTAAGCATAACGCCCAAACAACGCGACATCTAAAAAATAATTTGTGCGTTGAGATCCAAGGAATTAAATAAAAATAAAAATGTACGTTGGAACGACATATTCTTTAGTCCTTCGACGATCGAACGACTAAAGAATATGTCGTTTCAATGTACATTTTTATTTTTATTTAATTCCTTGGATCTCAATGCACAAATTATTTTTTAGATATGGCGTAGTTTGGGCATTATACCTAAGTAATTAATCATTTGTATCCAGACGCTTGAAAAGGACCGAAATCTACGGTCGAAACGTATAATAGCGTTGTTTAAATAAAGTTAGCCAGTTGGGTCGAATAAACGATACCTAAGCTGATTTTTTCATTATTCATTGGCGATTTAAATTCTCATTTTGGCTGTTAATAAAATAGACTTTATTCGCGCACATAATCCGCTTTCTATATCTCCAGATCGTTAAGCGTACAGTTAACGTAATCAACTTTTATTTGTAATATCATAGCTTGATCGCGTCGACCATTCTTGCACGTATGTAATACTCGACACAGTCGACAACACTGACACCACGAAATATCAAGGATATGGCATTGCAGCCACTCTGGGAAGAGGAAATGAATTAGGTAAGTATATTAACGCTGACACTCTCTCTTTTTCTTGTTTTCCATTATTGATAATAAATTTTACAGTGGTGCAAACGTGCAAGCTCATGTTCGAACTCCGAGTGAAGAATCGAACGACCGAGGAGATCTATTCGGATTTTGCAAAATTTTGGAGAGAGTTAACGACCGATGTGGAATTACGATGGGTAACGAAACGAATGATGTGCAACTATCAATTATACTAATTAAACTGTTATGACTCAAAGAGTGTAATTTCGATATTTCAGCTAGGACCGGAATGCGGTGTGGTACACCTAGCTACGGCAGCAATCGTGAACGCATTGTGGGACCTGTGGGCACGTATCGAGGGTAAACCTGTTTGGAAGCTGCTTGCGGACATGACCCCCGAACAGCTTGTTTCCACGGTGGATTTTAGATACATGTGAGCGAAAATCTTTCGCCCGACGTTCGTGGCTTCGAATAAACTTGAAAAATATATCCAACTACATTAATATTTTACATTAATTATATTATATTAAATTTTGGACATTTTTTACATGTGCAGTACAGACGTGGTGACCAAGGAGGAAGCGATACAAATGCTCAAGGAGAATCAGGATAAAGAGAAAAAGGAGAAGACCCTACGAAGCGAAGGGTATCCGACGTATACGTCTGATGTTGGACGGTATACTTTGCGCAAACAACAAGTTAGAAGTGCCTGCAGCAAATTCAAGAAACTCGACTTTACGAGTTTCAAGACTATCGTGGGTCCCCAAGTCCCCGAGAGCGAGTATAGGTGTAACGTGATACGCAGCGTGGTAGGCCGTAAAGTGAGATTGATGGTGGACGCGAGTCAAATCTGCGAAAGCGCAAACGAGGCGATAACTGTTGTGAAAGGTATCAAGAAAACTCGTCCCTATTGCATAGAAGATCCGACGTCTGCCGACGATGCCCTAGAACATTCCACAATACTAAATGAGTTAAAAACGCTTGAGGTGAAAGTGACCTGCGGTAAAACGTGCACAAACCGCGTCATGTTCAAGCAATTCTTGAAAATTGGCGATACCGATTTCTGGAGTATTAACGTAGGGAGGCTCGGCGGGGTTAACGAAGCTCTGGCTGTATATTTTATGGCGAGGAAGCATAATAGTAAGTTTGCGATCAATGACAATTACTTCTATTACATTTTAATTATTTTAGAGAGTGATTATCTTGTGGAGTCGATTTTCGCTGAACAAAATAAAACAACTTTTTTTTTTTTTACTTATAGAACCGGTATGGGGTCATGCTGGTGGAGTGGGCTTGGGCGAGATGATTCAACATCTCCAAATATGGAACCATATTTGCTTAGGTGCACGCACGGGCACGGACACCGATGGTATGATAGAATTTGTCAGTCATCAGCACGGATACTTTGTGGATCCTGTATTCATTAGAAACGCTCATTACCTACTGCCTCAACGTCCTGGATTTTCAACTCAACTTAAGAACAAATGCATTACACGGTGGTCTTATCCAGGAGGTACACGATGGAAATTTATAATTCAAAAAAAGAAAGAAGAAAAAGAAAAAGAAAAGCAAAAGAAAAAGAAACGAACTTAAATATCAACATTATTGATAATAGTATGAAAATATTTGCTTTGCCGACATAGCTAGGTATGGAATTTTTTGATAAAAACGATATATGAAACGAGCGCATATTTTCTGATTAAAATACTGTAAAATGCATTCATTCTGAAATATATACTTAATATTCAAAATTGTGTAGCACTATCCTATAATAAACATGTAATCTTTCATAAGCTGTGTTAGAAATGTTTTTATTTTTACACAACTGCTGCTTAAAATCTTTAGTTATATAGAGCTGATTTATCTACTTAATATAGAAAATGAAAAAAGGGAAAGACTATTAGAGACTTGTACAAATCGAACGCTTCTTTGATTGCATTACTTTTTAATTTAAAATATATATAAACTGTACATATATATATATATATTTATAAGTAGCATATATCTATATGTATATTTGTATGTAATATAGTTGATGTGAGCATGATAAATTAATAATGTGTGTAACGTATTTATACGAGTGGCAGTTGAGCTGAGAGGGAATCTTAAATTTTCCTAAGAAACTGTTAAAAGCCATCTACCTATTCCGTAAATATTTACCGTCTCATCTTTCGCGGAAAACTTATTTTTTTTTTAAATCCCTCTTTTCGTTAACAGAACAAATAAAACAAAAAATCAATAACGCAAAAATTAATAAAGACCCTAATCATTATCAGTCCGTTATATGGAATATGTTTTAAATTATTAGCACATAAGTTCTTGTAAAACCCTTCATGTTGTAATACTAGAACAGCCGTTCTGCAAACAAACATGAGTTGTTTTAATTTCTGAGTATCAATTCGCACTTAATTAATTTTATCCAATATAAAGAAATAAAATGCGCTTGCTAATTTCGCGCAAAATAAAACACGGGGACAAGGCGTTAAAAGAATAAAATCGTTCGTAAATTCTTTAAATTTTGCCCTTAATATCATTTCAGCCATTCGTGTATTATAACAAATTGCTTTTCTCGTTACGTATTCCAATTTTGTCGATAGCACTAAATTATATATACGCTCTCTCCCGTCTCTCCCCTTGACACATGCTCACGAGTGTATCCTCGTTATGTGAAATTATCATGCAAGAAACACTCTTCATTTCGATAATTTACTATGTGAGTTCTAATGTCTCATTTGGTAATGATGTAAAACGTAAGATTGTGTTAAAATTATGTTAAACGTTAGACTTTGAAGGTACCTTCAAGAAATTACTACAACCTTTTGTTGTTGATCGTAATAACAAATAGCATCACTTTTTTGCACGATTTCGCATAACAGGATACTGTCGCCCTGTTGTTCGTAATATCTATTCCTCACCTTCATAATGACTTACATGCTAAAAGTAGTTTTCGTTGGGGCACCCCCCTCGGTCTCTGTACAGTGTGCTTTTTTATAAATAATTCTTATAAATTAGTATAATCTACGTTTGTTGTTCCGACATAAAAATCATACAATGTACATAATGCTTGCTTACGGCGATCCACTTTTAATACTGCGGGTAAATCTTCGTCCTTCGCTACCTGCGTTTTTGCAATGACATTCTCTCTCCGATCGGTATCTAATCTTTTAGAATCCCGCCCGCGCGTGTTTGCTTAAAGAGTTGTTTGAGGAGCTGCCGCCGCGAATCGAAAAGTTCGGAGCTTAAGCTAACTTAATACTCTAGTAAAGAGGTAAGTTTCAGCTGCCCGGATAAGGCATTTGATCTGGAAGGGCGGACGAGTGATTCTGGTTGGGGCTTTGATGGAAATGCGGACTGGTGCCATCCTGCGAGAGGTCGCCGACGACGGGTTCCTCGTATTTGCCTCTCTTGAAGCGCCCGTACAGTGACGAATACGGTAGATTGTAGTGGATCGCCGCTTGATTTATGCTCATGTGCCCTAATCTGCAAACAGAAAATTCATGAGCAACGTTCATAACGTGATTATTTAATTTGTGTTAGAATCTTGCATTAAAACCAATGAAAGTTCATCCGTGCTTAATAAAATTTAAACTTTACAAAGAAACTGAAATATTTGACAATCCATTTTAAGTTTTTCCAAAATGTATATACAATAAATAAAATACACAATAAAATTAATTTAATCCATATTATGTTATTAAATTTTCTTGAATGAAATCGTTGAGAAGTATATCAATCTATCAATGCATCAATTTTATTAAATATATATAGAAACGTGCGATAGAGGAAGAGTATTTATTGCACCTGACGGCCTCGAGAGCTTCAGTCATAGCGTCTTCGCTCCACGGCGTGGGATTGCTCCTGCTAAGCTCGATTCCTTCCCGCTTGCATCTTCCGTATAGAGTCCCCGTAGGTATACCGAATTCCGTCGACGCTCTCTGCACGGAGGTCTGACCAGATCTTATTGCTTCTAGGGCGCGGTCCAGATCGGCCGGCGTCCACGTAGTGGGACTCGCGTTGAACGGCGCGGCCAGCCTGATGCCTTCTCTCCTGGCGATCTTGTACAATGTACTGGAAGGTATGCCGTACGCCTTGGACGCCTTGTTAGCCGAAATGGAGCCAGTGCGTAACGCCTCTAAAGCGTTGTTCAAGCTCTCGTCGCTCCAGGATTTCGTTGGGCCATCTTTCTTCGGCGTGTCGATGCCCAATCGATGTGCCCGTTGCCACAGAGTCGTCGAGGGAATACCGAATGTTGCTAAGCGTTCACAAATTTGCACATTAAATTTAATTCGTACACGGTATTGTTAACGCTATAAATTATATTTTTTAAATATTGGATTTAATCCGTTCTTAGTTTTTTTTTTTTTTTACACGAATCGTTGTACGCATAATTACGCATATTAAATTACTTGGCTGATAAATTAGAAATTATAACTCTATATATAATGTAGAAGAAAAAAAAAAAGCCTCCAACTGAGTCAAATTTCTTTGAACGAGTAACAATTGAAATAGATTCGGAATGTATTTCTTACCTGAAGCTTTCGTCAGGCTCATGTTGTGATTTCTCAGCGCCTCTAAAGCCGCGTCCATGTCCTCTTGCGTCCACGATTTTGAACCGTGATGATGCGAGCTCGACTGTCCGCTGTGCCCCCTCGAATTGTTCTCGCCCGAGTCCGACTGGCCGGAGCTTCCCGACGGCATCAGTCCCAGCAACTCCGGTGTTATCATCATCATGTTGTCGCTGTCGGCGGCGTTTTTCGAGCTCACGCTCGCCCGATCCGACATGTGGCTGTCTATGTCGATCGTGTCGGAGGAGTCCATCGTGTGCAGCGTCTCGAACTTGATCTTGACGCTGTCGCAGTTCTGAATCTCTGCGAACAGATCGCGGGAAACGGGCATGACACACCGCTGCTGTTGGCGCTTCGTACCGGGGAAACTCGACATAACTTTCGCGACGGTATATATCTTCGCCGGGGGACTCGCGAAAGTTGCTCGGTAAGCCTCGATGGTACCTGAGGATCGATAAGCGAGTCGCTGTCGAAGGCGAAACTGGACGCGGAAGGACGCTAAATGAGGTTGCGTGGGCTGCTGCTACAGGCCGAGCAACGCAAATCTAATCGCGACCAGTTAAGCGTGATTAGGCCAATTATTTTGATTCCCTGTCCGCCTAATGACCGGCTGCACTTTCAGCCTAGCAGTGTTTCACCCCACGTCGTGCCCTCACGTACGGGGGACAAATGAAAACGTACACGACGTTGAATGCACCGAATAAACGGGAGATTTCTATCATCACGCGATGGCGAAAGACACGATGATCACCTATACGTTATTGGAATTGGATATATTTGGTCATCGAAGCGTAGAGTCTGCGGAAGTTCTAAACCGCGTTGAGTCGGTAGAGAACTTGCGAAGAAATATTTTTAGCTCAAACGTCATAGATCTATCAATGCAGTAGAATTGACATAATTAAATAAATTATTTTATAATCTTTCTGCTCTTCTCCGATGAATTTTTCAATAAGGTTACACATATGATTACTAAACTTTATCATCTCGAGTGGAAATTGTATTTTTACCGCATTTTGCGTGCTGAAAAAGAGGCTTTTATAGTTCTTAAAATATGCATATCGCTCTCCCTTTATTGCCCTTTTGTACAAAGAAGCGAGACATATGCGTCTCTTTTCCAACATCTTTTCGCAATTAAGTCCGCTGGGAAATTCTGTCTTAGTTTCATTTCGTGCTGTTTATTAGCAAAAATTGACAAGAGAGGAATTAATTCGGAAGGGATTAAAGGTGATCATCTCACTTCGTTTTACGCTCTATGTACAATTGCCACGATCGTCGTCGAGAACCGCTATTCTCGAGTAAGAAACGGTACTTAAGAAACGTAAAGTTTTATACCTGTATGATGATCCGGGTCCCTCAGGTGAGTGATGGTGGTGCCGACCAGGGTGGCGCTGGGTGGGGTGGGTTGGGTCTCGGGGGGCAAATCGACCTCTCCGGGATCCGGATGGTGGCCGTAGTGCCCTAGCCCTGTGTGACAGAACATGTCACCTTTTTATTCGACGTGAAAAGGGTCCGTCCGGATCGATCCTAAAAATGTTAAATTGCCCCACACCTGGAAGCTTCTGAATAATCGCGACGCAAGCATATCTTCCATCTTTTTTTTCCTTCCAAATCTGGTCATAAGTGAAACGCAAAATGTAATACACATAATGCACTATAAAAAAATATCATTTTAAAAAAATATCAATAAGTAAGTAGAAATAAAAATTAATACAATGTGTAATTTTTATCAAAATAACGAATTAGTCTACAAAAATTCACGTCTCACGAGAAAGAAGATGAAAAGAAAAATAATAAAGCCTAAAGTCCAGGTGTGGGGCAAAAATCTCAGTCGATCTACTTACCGTTGTTACTCGTGCCGTTACCGTTGTTGTTGTTATTGTTATTATTATTACGCTGGCAAGTTTCCAGTGCTACTGCTGCTGTTGCTGTCTCCGTGCACTCTTCATCTTCAGCCTGCCAGTCCCGATGGTTCTGCGGAATATCCGGTACGAATTTAGCGTCGACCCTGACGAGATCGAACCGCCCGCCGACACGGGACAGCCGTTACGTTTGTACGATTTCCTCACTTCGTCTTTTTCAACGCGTTTACAAACAATCAATTCTCCGCTGCTATAGTCAATTTGGATAAACTCTACACCGCGATAACTTTCTCGTAATATAAGCGCGTTTCTTATAATAAGCATATATCACGTTATTATAATATTTTCATTAAGCTCGCTATAAGTTTCTATCAGAAATTAAATATTAAACGATGGATCGCGCTACGTTAATAAACTGATGTAATAAATGATCTCAAGTTAGGTAATTAACTTAAAATTTCCTAAAAATCTCAAAACTACATATTATATTAGAAATATATGGTTAAGTAATTAACTTAATGAAATTTTCTAAAAATCTCATAACTACCATCATATTATAAATAATTATAAACGCTAATCAATCTTTCCGCTCACACAACGTTAATTGGATTTAAGTTTTCGTAATTCAGTGCTACAGTAGTTGAGGATCAAGAAGCTTATTGCCAGCTGTATTTCTCAGATCGACGAAGTTTACCTCTTTGTTATCGCGGCTGTAATCGTTGTTGGCCTCCTCCTCTTTGTAGCGATCGTAGTGTCTCGGATCGGTGGCGCGCGGCTCGAACGCGGGCCGCTCGATTCTGGGTCTCTTGTACCGCTGATGGTGCTTCTTCAGCTTCGTGTAGTTCAACCTCGGGGTGCCGGACTCCCTCGGCGGCGAGCTCAGGCTCACGGGTGGCGGACCGTCCCTGTTCTCCGGCACCTCGCACAGGCCCTTGATCTTTAGCTGGTCGGCCGTCTTCAAGAGCGACTGTGGAAGAAACGGAAAACTAAGTCGTCGAAAGTCCAACGTGTAACTTCAAAAGTAACGAGTCGCGCATTTGCGACGCTATATACCTGCGCGACCCGTACTTTTATAAACTTATTTATAAGAATACACAAACAGTGTGTTCTTTACACACGAACAGTTTACAGTTTTCAGGTTTCTTATTCTCTTTAAAAATATTATTAACGCTGCGCGGACACCGTGCTTTTGGAGCACTCATTCGGACACCCTGGGACTTCCAAGTCTAAAAGGTTTTTGAAAGCGTTTCTGTGTTACAAAAAAAATCAATAAAAATTCACGTATCATCTTTAAGGTTTCAAAAAGTGATTTCTATACTTATCATAAGACCGGAATTGTGTTACAATTTTTTTTAAGTGTTGAAACGTCAGGAGCCAACTGTAAAATACGAAAAATCGATTGCGCCTTAAAAGGTCCACGGTGTTAATATTTATTAATTAATTAAAATATTACTAATTAAAATAGTAACCAAAATATTTAAAGTATCGTAATTAATTTCTGGCATACGTTTACTGTGCATGAGTCTTTGTATCATAAATTAGTCTCGAGTCTCAAGGATTGACATTTTCGAGTTAGTGCGTCCAGCGCGTGGAGGAAGCGCCGCAAGTTCACCGCGAGCGAGCAATTAATTCGTTAATTAACGGGATCGTATAATCGAGGCCGGCCGTGTGCGGAAACGCGTGCGGAAACGCCGCGCGTTCGAGAATCAAGGCGCGGACGCGGAATAGAAAAATACTCATTTCGGTAAACCGCTTTGCGAGAGGCGGACGGAGGACCGGCGCGGGTCCGGTCCGATTGGATTTGCATATTTCTCGCGCGAGAGCCCGTCGTCCCGGCATCTCGTTCCGCCCGGCGGCGGTGCAATTTCATCTCGGCGACGGGCGTCGACGGTGGTTGAGGCGGAGGCGGCGGCGACGCCGCCGCCGTCGCCGGCGTCGACGTCGAGCAACGTCCGTCCACCCACCAAACGTCACTCCTGAAAATCAGCGCGCCGGCGATCCAAGTTTCGGCGAGTGTTGCCGAACGACGACAATCCGCGTATCGGGATACGCGCCTCGTCCACTTCGATTCTGGCTTCTCAACGACGAAATTCACATCTCGGAAAAACTGTTGTCGAGGAGACGCTTGGTCCCCTTCAGCTTTTACGAGGTGCGCGAACTAGTTGGATACAGCAGACAAGTAGTCTCGCAGATTCGGGAATTTAAATGAATTATATTCGTTCGAGTGTTATCAAAAAACTGTAATATACAAAGTTTAACGAATATATTCTATATATGAATAAACGAGCGGGAGCTTCTCAAGATTCATGATTAATTTTTATATTCTGAAAATACACGACTCTTTTGACATAAGTTTAAATTATGAATAGAGCTTTAAAAAAATAGCGATTCTTTTATTAATAAGTATAAGACAAAAACCGAATCAGATTCTGGATCATAAAACTGATTCGGAAAGGCAATTTATATTTAAATTAATTAAAGGAGAAGTATGTTTAAAAATGTATGTATTTAAAATAAGTATACAACATATATAAAAGACTGGTGAAGGCTTGTTACAAGTCCGCGAGATATACGTTCTCGCGAAGTAACCTTGAAATCTCGGTGCGAGGGAGAAGGGAAGGGAAGTTTAAGAGACGAATGAACGGCGAAACGAGGAGGAAGTGAGGTCACGAGGAGGAGGAAGATGATGGACGCCACCTCCGCGTGGCGTAACCCGTCAAGTCGCGTGGCTTCTCGGGACGTCAGGACGTCCACGTGGCCGACTTGTAAAGGACCTTGCTAGGAAGAATCCTACGGACGATGACCAAGAGAAGAAGAACGATGACGCGGACGAAGCGAGAAACCAGAGAATGACACAGCGAGGGGAAACGAGAGAGCGGAAGAGAGAAGACCTAACGGCAGCGACCTTCGCACGTCGGAGCCTCTCTCTGTTCTTTAATCAAGCCGGGGGTGGCACGATTAGGCGGGGTCTGCGCGGTTGCCGGCGGCGTGAGAGTGGCACCGCGGTAGAGTAACGGGGAGGCAGAGGGGATGGGAGGAGGAAGAGGACCGGGGGACAGAGGCAGGTTGCACCGGGGGGGTGTCAGTGGTGGCTGGAACGCGTTGCGTGGGTGGAGAACCGGAGGGTGAGATGGCAGATCGGGCTGGATGGATTGAGAGAGTGTGACAAGGAGAGGAAAAGAGAAGGAGAGAGAGGCTGAAAGGCAGAAAGAGCGAGATAGGGAAGAGAAAGAGAAAGAGAGAGAGAGGGAGAGAGAGAGAGGAAGCATGAGGGAACGTAGAGAGAAAGGGAGAAGAGTGAGATGGAGAACGAAAGAGAGAGAGAGAGGGGAAGAGGGAAAAATTCGCAGAGAAAAGGAGAGATGCAAACAGAGAATAAGAGGGAGCTGAGAGGAAGGAGGATGACGTGGGCAGGGAAGGGGGTTGCGGAGAGGGCGGAAACGTGGCGGAGGCAAAAACGCCTGCAGGAAGAATGGGGAGGCCTCCGACGCGGCTGTCGCGGCCCCAGGGCCGTATCGACCACCCTCAACCCCCGACACGCACACACACACACACACCCTCTCTCTCTCTCTCGCTCTCGTTTCTCTCGGTGTTCGCGACGGCATCGACACCAATGACTTCCAAGCGTTTCCACGCGCGCACACGCGTCCGCCTGTCCCTTTCTCTCACCCTGTCTCTCTCTCGTGCCTTCGCTCGTTCGCCGGCTCGTTACGGCCGGGCGTGTGCACGGCCGCCCGAAACGTCCGCGGATCTTCGATCTCGGCGGCTCGGGAGTTTGATGGCGCTGGTCGGGTCGCGGGGCATGCGATAATCGAGCGTCTCGGTCGGGACGAATGAGGAAGCGAGCGAACGGGCCACCTCCCCGACGAGAATGACGGCGACGATGACAGCGGTGGGACTTTCGGCAAAGAGGATCACGCCTTAGCTCGCGGGCCCGGAATGTGCGCGTTTAACGCCAAATGCAGCAACAATTGGTTTCGTAAACATAACAATAAGACCATTGAATTTTTCTACCATCATTCTTGGAGATTAAAGATGCAATGAAAAATTTTATCTCAGTGTTGCATATTTAGCATATTCTCTCTCTCTCTCTCTTTAAATAAATAAATAAAATAAAAAAAGTATTGTTTAGTGCAAATGCAGCACTAATACTTTCCAATAACATTTTGCGGTCTGTCCATGCGATAATGCTGATAATGTTAATTTATAATTATTTAATATTAATTTAGGTATATGTGTTTAGGTTATCGAGATCCAAAACTCGAACTTATAATAGCAATATTTATCTTAACGTCGAAAAAAATCATAGAATTTTAGCAATTTGTCAATATCTCCAAGTTTTCTCAACTTCTCGAGAAAGTGATAAACCTGTTGGACAAAGTCGGTTGTAGAAAAGGTCTCCGTCACTATTCTTCCAATGCTACAAACCGCTTTCGCCGTGTAATTGAAGGACACTCGATAACAATGCATGACGCGTTATAATTTCGGTACACATGGTCTGTTTCAACAGCATTCATTCTCTCTCGGGTTAATGGATCGGATCGAGCGATTCGCAATTGGGGCAAAATTGTCAAGCGCATCCAATTTTATCACGTCGGAACTGTAATGGATTTGTAATAATAAGGAATTGTTGAATTGTCGTGTCCATCTCTACCTGTTACGGTTTATCGATACGCGGAATAGAGTTTAACGCAATGCATCTCAATTACAGAAATTTTCGCGGTAAAATGTGTGTGTGTAAACATTTGCATTGCATACTAAATGTTCGTACACCATCGCCTTCAAATTTAATGCCCATTCTTTATCGTGGAATTAAAATTTATAAGCAGCGAAAAATTAAAACGCAAGAAATACATGATGATATAGTGATAAGAAAAAGAAGAGAATAGAAAAGCTGTTTTAATATCCGTTTACGTTTGCACTGATTTGTTTGTATATAATCCTGTGACCAAAAATTAAAAATTATCTCACTGCTGCTCGAAATTTAAACTTAGATTGATCAAATGTATGCAATATTTTTTTATTTGTGGATAACAAAACAGTAGCTCTGAATTAGGTATACACCAAATTAACTATAACTAAAAATTATGCACTTGTTAGAAATTAAAAATCAAAGAGACAAATAGTTGTGCAAATTGTATGATCAACTTTACTTTATTTTATTTTATAATTAACAATGTATATTCGAGTGTGATTAAACGCAGTTTCTTTAAAAAATTGACTTGTTTACAGATTAATAACGCGCCTAATTCAGGAGAACTGGTGGATGTTCCACAACCGTAAACGCAGAAAGAGCGATCGATGTTCTCGCGAGACAGGCACGTTACACGATAAATCAAATTCGGCGGGGGGGCCACGAAACGTACAACGAGAGGTCTCGTTCGTTGCAACGAAATTACCGTGCAATGAGCCGCATCTCCGTGTATCCGAACGAAATGACGTTCGATTCTCGGTGGAATTCCCTCGGTGGAATTTCGCTGGCGTTGTCGCTGCTCGAGTTCGACAGCGAAGGATGCGGAAGGGAGTCGGAGAGACAGAGAGTGAGTGAGACGATGGGAGGGGCGGGGGGGTGGTGGGTAGGTAGGTTTCGGATTGCGTTCGTGGGAAATGGCGTTTCGTAGTTCAATTAAATAAATAAAGGGCAGAAAAACCTTTGCCGACACGCGGTGCTTTAACGGCGACGGCACTTGGAGAACCACGGACGGAGGGTTGCGCGCGCGGGGCGCATCAGGGGAGCGAAAGGGGGTTCAATGCGGGGGTTAGGCGGCGGCGACGGCGGTGGCGGCGACGGCAGCGGCGGAGCGGGTGGTTGGCTGGTTGGTCGGTTCGGAGGTGGATGCATAGAGGTGGTGCCATCGGTTCGGAGGCAAGAGGGACATTGCCACACCGGCAGAATCCGACCTCACCAATCAATACTTAGGGTTCAAGGGCATCGGCCGACCAATTATCCCCGGACTAATTGACGCG